ATTTGTTGTCTTCTGAAACAAATGGGTTGGCTGTTGTCCTAGTCACACCAAGTCTTACCTGGCATGTTTCCAGAAGCTCACTTCTGTGCCCTCTTTCCTATCCTTTTCTCCACCAGCTCCCTGCATGTCAGAGGGCTTTCTAACTCTTGCTCTGCTCTTCCCTGTCCTATCAGGTCCACAAAGGGCAGCCTTCCCCTTCCCCAGACCACAGCAGATCCCCTGGAGCTGTGCAGAGTCCAGGTTGTCAGCGTGGCAGGTAGCGGTTGTTTTCTTTTTCTTTAAGAATGCAAGGTCCTTGTTGCTGCCCCTTTCTCATTTGGTTTGGACGTTCTCCTGGCTTATCTGTTTTTTTGGTTTTACATAATGGGCTACTTAGGAAGAACCTGAAACCCACAGTGACTTAGCGGCCTATGAAGGTCACCATACAGTTGAATGGTGTGTTTCTGAGTAACTTACTTTGTTGCTTGTCTAAAAATTAACGCTAGTGTTGCCATGGAGTAGTCAGCCAAAGGAATGACGTGTGTGAAGAACGGCAAAGCCACCTTCACCTAAGCAGTAAAACAGGATTTCTTGTTAAACACACAGTTTAAACTTGAGGCCACCACATCTTTTCCTTTCCTTGTTTGTGTTTATGTATTATTTTGTAAACCAGGAAGTTAGTTAGTGGGGAGGAGAGAGATATATATGGAGGGATCTAAATGAGCCTCTGGGACTGCCATCCTCGACAGACTTGTGCAGACGGAAGGGCTGCCATTTAGACTTGTGCAACCTCAGTACTCTCATCTGTGAAGTGGAAATAGCCTTGCCTGCATCAGGTTATTTCTGGAAATTCAAAGGGAAATAAGTTTCCCAGGCAGCTAATGCAGCCTCTGTCACCTGGCAGACACACACAGACTGTCCACTCTATCTCTTAGGTGCCCCAAGATTGCACACTTACTTACAATGCAAATCTCCCCGCCCCCCCACTCTCATTACTATTTTTAAAAATGTGTCCGTTTTATAACTATGTGTATGCATGTTTATATGCGTGGATGGGTATATGCACGTAAGTGCAGGTGCCCTTGGAAGCCAGAGATGTTCGATCCCCAGGAGCTGAAGTTACAGACAGTTGTGAGCCACCTGACATGGGTGCTGGGAACTAAACTCAGGTCTTCTGGAAAGTCAGTAAGTGCCCCTAACTAGTGAGCCATCTCTCTCTACCTCTAAAGATTTATTATTTTTTAATGTGTGTGTGTGTATATGTGCGTGCATGCCCAAGTGTCTAAAAGAGAGTGTCAGACTTCTTGGAGCTGGAGTTCCTTGGAGCCTCCAGGAAGCAAACTTGGGTCCTCTGAAAGAACAGTAACGCTTCTGACTATTGGGGCATTTCTCGAGCCCCATAAAGCAAGGTTTGCTTGTGATTTGTAGAGAGAGTTTATTGGGGTTAAAGGGCAAGGAGGGTAAAGAATAAATTCACTATGAATAGAACTGTATTGTGGACCTACAGGAGGGTGTTTTGAACAGTCCCTAGCTGGTCACAAACATTCCCAAGGGGGAACAGTGGGATAGTAAGATATAAACTGGATCTCATGAGTGAGTCACAAAGCCCAGAGAGAAAACCCTGACGCCTCAGCCCTCTTGCTTCTCTAGTTTACCTCCCTTCTCCACCTAAATGAGAGCCTGCATGCTAATAAGCATTTCTTTTTTGGTCCCATCTCATGAAAGCATAATTTAAACCAGACCAATAGAGGTAAACAAAGGGTATTTGGGACTGAACCTGACCTTCCTTCCCACTCAGTGTTGTGTTTGATTTCTGTTTTTTTCATTGAAATGTAATGTTTGCTCTCTGGGATTTTTGCTTGTTCTCTCTCTCTCTCTCTCTCTCTCTCTCTCTCTCTCTCTCTCTTTAGGTCTCACTCTAGTTGACCTTGAACATGCACAGATCCTTTCTCCTCTGTTTCCCAAATTCTGGGAGTTCCACACCTGCCTTTATATTTTTTAAGTTTTTTTTAAAGCTGTTTTCTATGCACGTGTGTTTTGCACATGTGTGTGCAGTGTGTCAGGTCCTCTGGAAGAGCAGGCAGCACTCCAGCGCACTTCACCTGCCTTTAAATGTTTAGAAGACAGGAATGAAATTCCCAGAGTTTGCATTATCTTAACTATTCTTAGAATGTTAATTACATGCTCAGCTTAAAACCTTTTATACAAGAAAAGAGAATTTTTATAGACCCAGTTTTTCTTCTTTGTGTATGCTGCCTTACTAAGTTTGTTTTAATGAAAAGACTTGTTTGGCTTAGTCCAAGTTGTACAAGACCAAACTAGGAAAGAGCTTGTGACGGAAGCCCCATGAGGCATCCCCTGAGTCAGCTTGCCGGGTTACCCTTGAGTCCTCTGATCTACACAGGGGTGCCATGAAATCTAGCATCAGTAGTTAATTAAGACAGCAGTGTCCTGCTTGGGGGTCACCTTGCCTCTCTTGGGGTAAGTAGCAGATCCATATGCATATGAGAAAATGGGCTTGCTATTAAGGCACCCTAATACATGAAAACACGGGTCTTCATGATGTCACAGCCGCTTCATATCTGCCCTCCACCTCGGCTGCTGGGGCAGACCATCTGCAATAGCTTCTGTTTAGACTCCTCTTCCCAATGATAGAGCCCTCTGAAACACAAGTCCCTGACTCAGTGGTTAGCTCCCGTTGGGGTGCAGTCCCTCGAAGAATTGGGAACAACAGAAAAGCTCAATACATGCAAACACACAGAGCTTCCTGGTGGCCTTCTCCAGCAGACACCTGGAGCAAGAGCGGCAGCATGGAAGCTGTGCCTCACTCCCCGGGCCCCATGGGTGGATCCGGAATGAGGCAGGAGGAAGTGATGGTGGTGTTCTTGGGGAGAAGGGTTTGTTCTTCCAGTGGTGCATGTGGTGGCTAAGACCTTCCTTGAAAAGCCAAATTCAAATAGGTAGAACAGTTTGATTTGCTATTGAGAGCAAGGGACTTGTTAGACCAAGGAATTTTTCATGGCGTAATAGCATTATTGAACTTGAACATACTTCCGTGGTCATCTTGCTTTACACTCTCAGCATCAGAGGGATGACATCTACATTGGTGGTTTTCAAACTAGTGCTTCATGAGGTAATTTAGTGGGTCATGACCAGTATTCTTAAAAAGTGAAATAGTCACTGTCTCAGTCACTCTCTTGGGTATTTCCTTATCAGCATTTAATTCAAAAAATAATAATAAAATGTAGCCAGATGCATTAGTTGCTTGTCTCATGGCTGTGACCAAATATCTAACAAAAAATGACTTTCCTTTTGATGCATGCATGAGAGGGCACATCCCATCCTGGCAGGAAAGCACACAGCCACAATTTAATGGATAAATGTTCATATCATAGTGGGTGAGGGAGCAGAGAACTCAGGCCGGAACCATAGGGCTGTAAGCTACTGGTCTCACTCCAGAGTCTTCCTTTTGCCTTACAGGCCCTACAGCCTCTCAAAATAGGTCCAACAATTGGAGAACAAGTGTTCAAAACACATGAGCCTATGAGCAGTATCTCACACTCATACCCTAATATGACCCCTCCCCAAAATGTCTTTTTTTTCCCCTCTGAGACAGGGACTCTTTGGGTGCCTGAGCTCCCTCTTTGGTGCCTCATTGGTCCATCTTGGCGGCCACTGCAATTAATGTGTCTGTAGTAAACTGCTACCTCTTGAGGCAGTCCATTCCTTTTTAAATGGAAAACGACTTCAAAGAATCAAGCCAAACATAAATGTTAGAATAATAGTGTACAGGGACCTGTAGGAGAAGGGTCAGTGCCTCACATGGATGTGGAAACAGCAGAGGCCCTGCTGGGTAAAGGTGAAGGGTACACGTAAGGGGAAGAAGTCTTCCATGAGTCCGCTTGGCGTTTGGGGTTATGAGTAAGGCCTGTGGGTCAGCTGGGGGCTCAGCCAGCCAGACTCCACTCCTACTCCTGTGTGTTGCAGGCCCCAGAGAGTAAAGCAGGTAAGACTTTCAACATCAGAGATCCCTTGACCTCTTGGCTTTGAAAAGCTAGAGCTCTTCTGATAGACATATCTGCCTTAGTGTGGGTTGTTATCCCTTTGAAGGTTTTTTTCTGTATTGTGGGCACATAGGGATGTTGGGTTTATTTACCAAACCCCAGTGGCACAGTGACCCACATGGATGTTTTTTTGAGGAAGGGATACATATAACCATCTCTATATGAAGACACATACTCATAGGTATGGGCCCTTTACCCTGGGTCACCAGGAGTCTGTCTCTAAGACATGGTTTTACTTCTGAGGTCATCATGCCTAGAGTCCGTTTTAAATGCCCAGTTTCCCTCTTCTGTATTGACAAATGCAGTGTATCTATCCAGCTTCAAAATGTTGTCCCAGTGCCCCTTCTCGCATTCATGCATCCATTCTATAAGTATTTCCAGAATGCATATTAATTGCTGAATGCTGGGGATGTAGCCAGCGAAACCCCTAGCTAAATAGCCGCCTTCCACATTCACACAGCCCCGAGTTGTGCTGCAACCTCTTTTTCTAGTGCTTAGCCAAGGCCCTTGAACCCTTCCTGACTGTATAAGTGAATGTCCCATCTGTGAATCTGTGAAAGTCACAAAGAAGTGTCAAGTACGGTGACAGGGAATTTTCTCTGAGGTCACTAACACCCAGAGCTTTCCGGTCTTCTACAACCTAGAGGGACACCATGCACAGTTACAGACCTACAAAGTGTGATCACCCCCAAGCCGACCGCAGAGAGATCTCTGTCCGTGTGTTCTAAAGACCTGTACCTTGTGGTCATCAGAACCACAAGTGCTGGGATCCACAGAGAATTTCCATTGGCAGGAAGTGCAAGCAACTTCATCATGTCCCCATGCTGGCCAGATATATTCTTTAACAATTGTTTCTGTGACCACAGTGAGTTTCCCTTCACCAGTGGAGGCCTGGGGAGGGTGGGTGTCTGCTTTGGTGTGGGCACTCATAAAGGCAGCTCTTGGTTGTCCTTCCAGTGATGGGTCCTGCCGCCATGATGGTTCAGCCGCATGAGCTCTGACGACACTGCGCCATGTACAGTGTGGAAGATCTCCTGATTTCTCATGGATACAAGCCAGCCCGAGATGTCTCAGCACCACGTGAGGACAAATCAGAGGGATGCCGGCCAACGAGGACAAGAACCCGAGCTGACCAACGCCTGTTGAATGGATATGAGGATGGCCCTACAGCCCATGCACACAGTAGGACATCTCTGGGTACAGGAAATGTAAGCAGCTCTGAAGGCCGCAGCAGCAAGCCAAGAGGCCACGGGGAGCACCAGAGCACTTCTGCTTCCAGAACTCCTGAGGCAGGGTAAGCGTCCTGTTGGCCCAGTGCTTTCTTTTGACTTGGGAGTTTGGCGTTGTGTTATATGCAAGTAAACCAACTATTCCTGTTTGATTGGGCTGGGGAGGGATGTCAAAGACATTTTGCTTGGGCTGCATTTGAGATCTGAGTTGTGGCTGTAGTCAGCCCAGGGCTGGGGTGCAGACCTTCATTCCCCTTGGTGTGTAAACAGATTCACCAAGGCCAGCAGCACATCTCCTGGTTCTACTTTTCTTCTCTTGTGAAGTGGTTAGCTGTGTAAGGAGCATCCTGGAACCTTGTAGAGCTCATTCATGCCCAGGATAATTGGCTTCCTCATGATGTATTTCAGTAGTTTGTATATTGAGCGAGCTGGAAAGGAGTGTGCACTCCCTATATTTGGCCCAACTTGCATTTCCACCTGTGTTATTCTTCTGTGGCTGTCCTATATGAACACAGGTCTCCCTGTGGAATTCCTTACGATAGAACAGGAGGGCGGGCTGCCTGGGGAATGGTGCTGAAAACAGGAATTTTAGCGAACATGAGAATGAGCCCCCAAACCCTTCCAAACAATTTTAGTCCATGCCCTCCCTCCATCGAGCTGGGCTTATCTTGGGACAGGAAAAGTCTATAGAGAGCAGAGCTCGAGGTGGACAGGATACTGTGAAACTGGCGATAACCAGCCAGAGAGGACAAAGTGACAGGTGAAGCTGGTGTCCAAAGAAATAAACAGTGTTGGGCTAAGAGAATGGGCAAGAACTAGCCTTCTGTAGTCATAGGTCAATTTTCCAGAGAAGAGCTGGTTTGTCTCCCGCTTTCAGACAGCAATGGAAAGACTCTAAAGAGCATTCAGTACCTTCAATGTTGGACAATGACAAAATGTGGTGGGTTCTTCTTGTCTTGTATTGTAAAGGTGAACTTTCTTTCCTGGCCGCTTCACCACTGGGGTCAGGCTCAGGAGGGACTCCATGCTGAAGTCAGGAAGCTCTTCCGAGTTGATGCTTTTGTCAGCCGCGACCCTCCAGAAGCCTTCCCATAGCAGGCAGGTTGGCTGAGGTGTGAGAGCGCTGCTGGCCGGCAAGCACGGCATGATTTCTCCTCCAGCTTTAGTGCTGCATCTCTCTTTCTTTCCGCCTAGATCACAAGACAGCAAGGTTGGCCCCATTGTTTCTTTGGTGTTTCCTACAGAGTTTGAACTGTATGCCCGGTGCTGTTGGATGTTTAGAAACGCCTTTGAATCCTGGACTCTGGCTTTCTATCCCTGTGTAGGAACCGGCAGGTAGCCCTGCCCAGTCCATACTCAAGGAGGCACAGTTTCATACAAGCTACTGCCTCTCCTTGTGTCATGAACACTCTCCTTGAGTGTTCAGATGAGTGGCCGTGTGACACACTGGCATGTTTTCATATGGATAACAAAGATGCCTCTTCTGTGTGATTTTGAGATTTGCTGATAGCAGGTAGTGACTTTTGGGTAGAAAGGATAGCTTACATAGTAGAAAGAGAAGACATACCTGATTGCAGAAATCCGTGCCAGTGCCAAGGTCTGGGGACCATGTACAGGTATTCTCTGAATACTGTCTATAGGAGGCAGGTGTTGAGGGAACTGCTTCCTTAGGAGAACTTGCTCTGGGGGAGATAAACAGGCGTCAGTGTGAACAGCTCGAACAGTTCAACCTAAGAAGCACACCACCCCAGCATATGCGAATCCTGGATCGGAGTGAGTAAATGGTGTTCTGCCAGCTTGCAGCCTTTGGGTCCTTGACCAGTGCAGCTATGGGCTTGTAGCACATCCCATCCCAGCAGTGGGCTCTGGTGGCCTAGTCTCCAGGTTTGCAGGGCACCTGAGGCTGAGAATGTCCTACCCCACACTATGAGGAGACTAGGCAAATCACAAGGCTCATTCAGTGATATCTCTCATTCTAAGGTCTGACCTGCAGGTGTCCCCACATATTGACTTGGGGCTCAGACCTGTCTACCATTCTGGAAAAGGTGAAGGTCGGTGCGAGTGAAAAACTGTGGAGCAAGTGGGGAGACCGGCTTGTTTTATTCTGACAGGTTGTAGAGATAGTAATGTTTCCTAGAGGAAGACTTAAGGTCAAGAGAGTATTGGTAGCTTGCTAAGGCTACTGTGGGTGGCAGTGGAGGGAACATAGCTTGGCCAGAAGCCAAGTGTCTAGCTGCCACCCCACAGTAGGGAAGGGCCTGGCCACACTTTCAGCTGGTGAGCTCTTCCTCCAGCTGCCAAGCACCGGACTGTCTTTACCTCATGTCCTACACCCTCTTCTGGCACACATGTCAAGAGACACTGAAGGAACGCATGTTACCATACCATATCACACCACACCACACCACACCACACCACACCACACCACACCACACCACACTGTGTATGTTAGATAATGTGTGCAGCTTGCTCTTCTGTGGACATTGTTCAGTTACATACTAATGCAAGGAATAGTTGCCCGCGCCCTGGTGCTCAGCTGGAACATCAGCCAGGAGTTTCTTTTGAGGTATTAGCAAGCATGAAAGGTACTTGTTTCCTAACCTCGAAGACATTGCCCAGGGCTCTCACCATCATTAGATCAAATGATGCAGAGCAGCCAAGACAAGAATGATTAACAGTTCCAGGGAAACAGAGGTGGAGCAATGTGTGAACTCGCTAAAATCATTAGTGCTCGAGTGGCAGAGATGGCACCAAGAGTCACTTCTCACTTGTATACAGTTTATCCAAATGAATGACTAGAGAGAACTTGCTCTCTGGGTCTCTATGTCTGCGGTCATTCTATGACTGGACAACACAGAAGATAGGCTCTGAGCCCGACTGTGTGACCACTCCCCAGGCCCTAGCTTACTTCTCTTGCCTGTGTGATTACCTGGTTTCATAGCAGGCCCTGTAGGGCACCACCTATGCCTGACCAATCTGCCTTAACTGCTGCCAGTGATCACACCCCATCCCCACTCTGCTCCAGGGGCTCCAGTTGTCCGTCTGGTGACCCTGCCTTCTTAGCACCACCACTGCAGGTCTACCCCATGGGAGTTCCTGTCCCTGAATTCTCTAGCATGTTCTCTCAGCCTCTGGGGTTGCCTGAAATCTGATACCTTACTGGTATATCAGCTACTCAGCTAATTCCAGTTGCCAACACTTTCACTTTGTTAAGTATTCATTCTTTAACAAACTCACCGTGCCAGTCTGGCACCCGGGCATTTGTGGAAGTACTAAGTATTTCAGTGTGTCGGGTTCTGGGACTGGTGAAGGTCTTGGCATCCTTGGGGTTCGCTGGGGAAAGGTTCCGTGGTGAGGGAGAGGAGCGTTGGCCTGCATGCTAAGCTGAACTAACCGCCTTCCTCACACCTGTGTCAGTGCAGCTTAAGGAGAACGGGCTTATTGTAGGTCACAGTTCCAGAGAGCACACGTTTGTATCGTGGTGGAGTAGGCATGGGTGGGAGAGGCTGGTCCATGGCAGTAGGAGCTTTTCACATCGTGGTGCTCAGAGAGACCAGGCCAGAACCTGGAATAAGTCTAGCCTTCAATATATTCCAACAATCGTCTGCTAGCTAGGCTTCACCTTCTGAAGTTGTGTATCCTTATTGGAGGAATAACTCACCCTGATTTTTTCTTGTAGGTGGTCTTGACTCTTTTGTGTGTGTAACCCCTTTGCTGGACAGCCCTTTCCCTGTGTGGACAGTGACTCTGCCCCAGAAATAGGTTCAAGATGATCGTATTCTTCTCTTCCATGATATTGTCATAGTTTGCTTTCTCTTCCTGTGATACAACTCCATGACGAAAACAACTTTGGGGGAAAGGGGCTCATTACATCATCAAAGGAGGCAGGACAGGCTCAGGGCAGAGTCTGGAGGCAGGAACTGAGGCCGAGACCACAGAGGAGCTCCCAAGCCCACATTTCAGCTTCCTTTTTGTACAGCCTTGGCCTACCTGCCCAGGGGAAGCACAGCCCACAATAGGCCAGACCTTTTAGCATCAATCAATAATCAAAAAACAAAACAAAACAAAACAAAACTGTCACATAGACATGTCCACAGTGCAGTGTGATGGAGGTAGTTCCTCAGGTGAGGCATCTCCTTCCCAGGTGACTCTAGGTCTGTTTCAGAGTGACAGCTGAAGCTAACTATGACAGAGGTTTAACAGCAGAGCATACAGCTGCCCACCCCGGTCTCTCAAAAATTTTGACACAGCAACATGTGCCTCAGGGTGTGTCTCCTGCACAGTCCGTGAGCCATGGGTGTTGTAGCTCCCCATAGAGGGTTGTGCATCAGGGCAACTTTCAGGCCATGAGATGCTGAGCATCCAGCCCTGCTGTGCTTTGAACGTGAATGTCCTCTGCAGACTCATGAGTTGAGCTCTTAGTCCCTAGGTTGAGACACTGCTCTGTGAGGTCCTGGGACTTCTCATGAGTGGAGTCTATTTGGGGAGTGGGTCCCTGAGGAGAGGTGTAAGCGGACACTCTCATTCACTGTGCTCACAAGCCCTAGCATGAACCAGGAAGCCACCATTTCTTAAAGGAGCCGCACCTCTGCTTGCAGTCTGCAAACAGAGTCTATCTGAAAAAATGCTGCTATCAATAAGTTGTGCTTAACTTTGTTCTTTTACGTCTAAAATCCCTTCTCAAGCTCTCTCAGGTTTTATGTGGATGTAGTTACCCATGTTGGCGCCATTTGTACATGGAAGCTGCTCGTTTGTTTCCTGGTCGCCCAGACCCAAATAGTCACACAGAAACTATATTAATTACAACACTCAGGCGTATTTCTAACTAGCTCTTATATTAACCCATTCCAATTATTTTGTGTTTTATCACAAGGCTCATAGTTTGTTACCTCTTGCTTCTTGGCCAGCTAAATGGCATCTGCCTCCTTTGGCAGCTACATGGTGTATCCCTGACTCTGCCCCCCCCCTCTTCCAGCCTGGCTATATTCTGTCCTGCCATAGGCCGAAGCACCTTCTTTATTAACCAATGGTGATAAAACTTAATTACAGCATACAGAGGGGAATC